CTAATGCCCTGCTAAAATTATTAAACAGGTACTCCCCTCCTCTCCCACCCCACAACCATACCCCAAGAGTGTAAAATGAAGCATAATATAGCAGCAAATCCACATACTACTTGCTAACCAAGTCCCTATAATTCTGCTCGATTAGTCAGAGGTTTAACACATCAATCACATCAATACTCTGACACCTTGTGGGAAAATTTCAAGAATAAGACACTGGCTACTGCAAAGGATGTCTTTGGAACAATGAGGTAAAAAACAACCTCACTGGTTCTCAGCATTTGAATGTTTGCTGGTCCCACTCATAAAAAAGAAAAGGCAAGCTCTCTTAACTTTACTTCAACAACCAAGTCTAGAAATCTCGAGGTCAAAGAAGCTAAGGCTGTGATCCAAAAAGCCACCTGAGAATGTGCCCAGAAGTATTGGCAAGACCCGTGCAAAAAGATTCAGAACTCCTTTGAAAGAGGGGACCTTCGTGGTACCTATGATGGAATCAAAGAGATACTTGGTCCAACATGTAAAAAGACTGCAAACTTGAACGCAAAAGATGGTACCATCCTGACTGACAAGCAAAAAGAACTTGACTAATGGGCTGAGCATTAACAAAGGATACCATTATCTGCGATACTACCTTAGGTGCCATTCCCCAGATTCCAACAGTGCAGAAGCAGGACTAAACACCAACTCTAAGATGTAGAGAAAGCTATCAAAGAGACTGCACCTGGGAAAGCAACATGCACTGATCAGGTATCTCTGGAACTCCTGAGGGCAGGGGGAGAAAGCTAACATGTTGCACTTCTCTGTGCCTGCTGGGAAGAAAGCCATATAACCCCAGAATTTGAAAGAGGCAAAGATAATTACTCTATACAAAAATAAAGGGGATGGAGCAGACTGCAGCAGCTACCAAAGGATCTCTCTACTCAACATGATCAGCAACATACTTGCAAGGGTCCTGCTGAAAAGACTTCAAGCTCTTGTTAAGTCTACTCTGAGAGCCCCTGTAGGTTCAGAACTGGACACTCCACGACTGACATGTCCTTCACTCTGCCTTAGTTGCAAGAAAAGAGCTGTGAAAAACAGGCACCCATCTATGTAGCATTCACTGACCTACAAAAATCCTTCAACACTGTTAGCAGGAATGACATCTACATGATTGTGGCAGGGACGCTGCCATGAACCAAGACCTACCTCTCAGCCAAGAGCGGAGAGGGATGCAGAGACAGCAGGACACTGTTGAAGATAAAAGGTGTGGCGGGAAAGAGGCCGCTGCAGGAAGACAAGCCACGCCGAGACCGGAGGGAGGAGAGCAGAAGTAGCCCCAGGAGAGCCGGCATGTTCAGCCGCACCAGCAGCGGCACGTTTTATGGCTGTGTGCTGATGCCAGTTTTCCAGCCAGCCCTTGTAAGGGGGAATAAAAACCCCGCCAGCCAACATTTGGGGAGGGCTGGAAGTGAATCCTCTGGAAGGCCTGAAGCAGCCAGGAGTGAACAACTGCCCCAACAGGGGCAAGTGGTGGCAACCCCAGGAGGGGGCATACCCTGATAAAGCTGGCTCGGCAGAGCCTGAATCCTTACCTTTGAAGAGACCGTAGATCAAGGATGCAGCTGGTGCAGACTGAGACAGCGGTGAACCTGGGAGGAGAGTCTGAAGCTATAAGTGGCCATTGGGAAGAAAGGGAGAGTGCCTGGGAGTAAGGCATCCCAGGGCAAATAGGAAAGCAAACTAGGCTGATGAGAGGCCTGAACCAGGATGGTACACTGTCCAAACAGGACTGTGACTAGATAAAGGCTAAGACCACTACCATGGCAGGTGGACTTTGTCTCAGCCTCAGTCAGGAGTAACATCTTTGGTAGGCATAAGGCAGGGTGTAGGGAAGGTGGAGCCCCAAAATGGAAGTCCAGGCAAAAGAGCCAAAGGAAGGAACAAACAGAGGCAGGATTCAAAAACAGCCTCCCAGCAATAACTGGTAGCAACAAGATGTGGCAGGAAAGAATCCCTGGAGACCCTTCAAACTGTCTTACTGGAAGGCAACCTGTCGACTCAAAAGGAGACAGGTGAGTCCAAATGGCCAAAAGGGCGAAGCGCTCAAGTGAACATCACTGGCTGTTACAAAGATCCTGTCGAAAACTGGCTGTCCACAAAAGGTGCTCTCCCAATTCAAGGTGCTCTATGACGGAAGAAGGTAGCCATCCAGTTTTGTCTTGTGAACCCTGCATTCATTCTTGCCTGTGGCAGGGGGTCAGACTAGATCATCTGTTCAGGTCCCTCCTGACCCTAACTCCTATGAAACTATAAAATGAAAATCATCTGAGTTTAATATTTAACATTTATAGTGGCATGAAACAAGACTGCATTTTAGCGCCTACCAGCTCTGGCAACCTCTTTTCTATGCTTCTCAAGTATACTTTTGGAAATGATCAATCTGGCATACTATCCAAATCAGCTTGTTCAACATGAGACAATTCCAGAACAAAAGGCATGTCACCCAGCTCTCTATTTGGGATCTGCTCTTCATAGATGATGTTCCATTTTTCCCTAACTCACCTGATGAATTGCAGATCATGATGAACAAGTGCTCTGATGCATGCAGCAAGTTTGGCATGGCAATCAGGAAAACATCTGTCATGTTGCAGGGCACCAACATCCCACCCAAAATCTACGTCAATAACAAAGCTCCAGACAGTGTAGATCACTTCTGCTTTCTCAACTCAGCTCTTACCAGCTCACTTAGCCTTGACAGAGATCTTGATGTGAGAATCAGCAATGCCTCTGTCACCTTTGACAAGCTTACCTCATGTCTGGAACAACAAGCTGCTAACCCTGAACACAAAGGTGTTCATCTATCAGTCCTGTGTCCTCAGTACCCTCCTTTATGACTGTGAAAACTGGGTCATGTTCTCCAAGCAGGAGTGGAGACTGAAAAGCTTCCACCCTCACTGTCTCAGAAAAATCCTTGAAGTCACGTGAGACCAACAGATCACCAATGAAATCCTTGAGAGGACCAGTCTACAGTTTATGAAGCCTATGCTGGACGCTCACAGGCTTTGTCGGCTGGGCCATGTGGAGAGCATGCCTCAAGATGGTCATAGAGTGCAGCCTTCAGCAGATGAACTCAAGAACTGCTCATGATGAAGAGGAAGGCCAAAGCTCCAATACAGCAACAAGCAAGGTCTCAAGAAATTCAACATTCCCCCTGACAACTGACAGAACCCTGCCCACAACCGCTCAAGTCTGGAGAAGCTAGATCAAGGCTGCTGCAGTAACTGCAGAGAACCATCAGAGAGCCCAGGCTGAAGCCCACAGGCAATCCAGGAAGGCTGAGGCCCACAGGCAATCCAGGAAGCAGAGTATGCTTCAACCTCCATATGACGAGTGGACCTGTATTCACTGTGGGAAGGTTTGCCACTCTCCCACACCACTGACTGACTGACTTTTTTACATCTCCTTTCATCTGTCAATATTTTGGATGGCTATATCAATAATCACAGGAGGAAGGGACTTGTCTCCAAGGTCCCTGCTAGCCTGGGAACATGTTCATGATATGATCTCTCAGAAACAGTGAAATAAAATAAGGGTCCCTTTGAAACAATGGAAATGGAACAACAATTCACAACTGCTTGTTACTTTTGTAGCTAAACTGGTTTGGCAACACCACACTGTCCAGGAAGTCAACATTAACCACTGAACAGTGTTTGGCAAAATTGAGTCCTAGAGAAAAAGACTAAAGTCTGAGAGAAAAGACTAAAGAAAGCAGTTTCCTGAAAATTTTAGGATCATGAAGAACTTTTTCTGGACTAGCCCACATCAAAATCACTGAATCTAATGCACTGGTTAACCAAACAAGGGAGTACAACAGAAGTATACCCCTTTCTATTTATGAATGCCAAGTCACACTGTAGAAGACAGAATACATGAGTGGCTTCTATCAACTGCATCAATACAACTGGGGAACCCACATGCAAACTCATCAATAAACTTTATCTTATACAACACATGCACACACAGAGGACCTTTTCAGTTGTGATGCAGATTTCCATCACTACAGACTAAACAATTAATCCTCACAAAACTGTTTAACCAAGCGGTAGCAGATAGCAGATGACAAGCTTCCAGATAGTACTGGTCATTCATTTTTATGAGATAAGGGTACTCTCGTATCGGTGTGCTGCCTCTTGTGACTCTAGGCCACACTGCAGAAATACCCAATATAATTTATTCTGATGTCTGGAAACCACAGTCAGTCATCAAAGTTCTGCAAAGCAATCCTCTTTCAGCATTGTTTCTTGAACTCAGAAATGGTCCTGCACAGAGCAAAGCTGTTGCAAGATAAATCTCTCCAAAGGGACCATCTTCATCTCATAGCCTCCCCCCATATCTGTTTTTCATTACTATCTAGGTTCAGATGCAGGCAGGGAAGGGGAAATTGGAACTGGACCTGCTTCACCAAAAACTGCTTTAACAGAACACTTGGCTTACAAGACTGCAGAAGTTCAGGGGCAGCATGCCAAACAGATTTGTGTGGATATATTTCCCCAGCTACCAACTGTGGCAGAAAAAAACTACATCCTCCATAATCATCTTAGGTGTTTTGAAAATAGGGCTTGCTATTTAAAACAAGGTCTTTCATAAGATGGAGAGAGAGAGGACTTAGGATTTTGAGAAAATAAACTCTACCCTTCCCACTAAGCAATCCAAAATGTTCCAGGTGTGGCAACAGCATAAATGACAAATTCACAATGATGAATTTGTATTTCAGGGGAATTCTCTTCCCATCTTTCCCACTGTGTGGAAGCAGCGATACAGTAAAAGCTGGCTGTTCATTTGGGTACATTTCCAATGTTGTTAAATCCTCTGTTTTGAAGCTTCTCACTTGGAATAAAATCTGTTCAAGGGTATAAGCATGGAGGGAGGTCAGGAATGTTGTACAGAAGCATATGGGTAAACAAGAGGAAACCCTGGAACACTACTGAAGAGACCTTCCTTGTATTTATGTTTAAAATTTACAGAATCATTTTTGCCAGGTTCATGTACAAGAGCAGAACTTACACTGTTTTAATTCAGAAGCTATGGTATTCAGATTCTACAACAGAACAGAAGCACAGAAGCTCAGCTCCTGCTGGGCATTGGCTAACGCCTGTTGCGGCTGTTCATTAATATCCACACCATGCAAAATTACTGGCATAGTTCCAGGGTACAATGTAATTGCAGAATGCCCAGCAGTGAAACAACGTGCCTCCTGCTAAAAGGCGAGCTAAATTATTCTCATAAATGTTGTGTGGATAGTGTTTGAGAACATGCTGTCTTTCATTTAAAGGCTTTTTTCTGTGTGGGGCTGTTATACTTTAAAGCTACAACTTTGAATATTGTAGCTCAGTCCCAAGTAGAAAGAATTCCAATAGCTCTGGCTGCAGGTGGTACAAACACGGAACTGCAGTAGCCACATCTTTGCCAAGGAGGATTGGGTAGAGGCTCTTTACAATGGAAAATAAAACTTTTTATGGTCATCATAAATCTGAGAATCTGGATTAACATGACTCAAGGCCTCATTTTTCTTGGCTACAGTAAGGTATATGCCTCCAGCTCAGGAAGGAATCATGACATTTGCCAGTTCCTTGAAATGTTTTCTGTTTTCATTTAGAATGACTTCATTTTTCCTGGATACATCTTAACCTAAACGAGAACAGATGGTTCATTATTTCTTAAATGCAAGGCAATAATTGTAGGTAGTGCTGTCTAGATGAGTGAAAAGGACACAGAGCAGCATGTCATTGGAATTCTACTTACATTACAACCTGTTATGCTACAACTGCTCTTAACAGTTACACAAGAACATCAAATACACCCTGGACTTAGTCCTTCTAGACTTTAAGAAGGCCTTTGATACTAACTCTCACCCCATTCTCATCAATAAATTGGGCAACTGTGGCATTGATGCCTACACAGTTGGATGGGTAAAAAATTGGCTGATGGGGCGCACCCAGAGAGTAGTGATGGATGGGTTGTATTCAACCTGGTGAGATGTGAGCAGTGGGGTCCCCCAGGGTTCGGTCCTCAGGCCTGCACTGTTTAACATCTTCATCAGTGACTTGGACGAGGGGGTTGAAAGCACATTGTCCAAGTTTGCTGATGACATTAAGATGTGGGGCGAGGTGGACACGCTTGAAGGGAGAGAGAGGCTGCAACTAGATTTAGACAGACTACAAAAGTGGGCAGATGAGAACAGGATGGGGTTCAATGTAGACAAATGCAGGGTGCTGCACCTTGGGAGAAGGAATCCACAGCATACATACAGGCTGGGGAGTTCCCCTCTTGAAAGCACAGAGGCAGAAAGGGATCTTGGAGTCATTATTGACTCCAAGATGAACATGAGCCTCCAATCCAGACCGCAACCAGCAAGGCCAGCCATACTTTGTCATGCATCCAAAGATGAATCTCAAGCCAGTCCAGAGAGGTGATACACCCCCCATGCGACATTGGTCAAGCTGCAGTTGGAGTATTGCATCCAGTACTGGGAGCCACACTTTAAAAAAGATGTGGCCAGCCTGGAGAGAGTTCAGAGGAGGGCCACCCATTTGGTGAGAGGGCAGCAGGACAGGCCCTATGAGGAGAGACTGAGGGACCTGAACCTGTTCAGCCTCAGCAAGAGGAGGCTGAGGGGAGACCTGGTGGCTGCCTACAAACTCATCAGGGGAGATCAACAGCAAATA